ATTTTTGCCCCAGACATTGGTACATATAAAGTCCCATAAACAGTCATTCATAGTTGAGTATGCTTATGCTGTGTGCCTTGAAGCATATTTGCCCTGGTTGATGCTTTTTATTCCTTTTGCTTGTAATTAATATATTTTAATATTAAATTGTACCACATCAAAAATGTACAAAGATTAAGGTTTATATTAGGTTTTATTTAGGCTCGATTGTTTTTCTTCACATTTCTATGATAGATGTAACTACCCCACACAATATTTGACTAAAGCCATTAAAAGTAGATGGGCACAGTTGTACATGGAGAGAAACTCATCCAAGATATATGTAGGATATTGGCTGTGTGACCGTTTGATAAATGATGGATGTAGGCATGAAGACACTGTGTTATATCTCATGAAACTAGGAATAAGGAAATTATGAAGCAAATGTGTCACTGCCTTATTTCATTTGTATAAAGGTGCTTACATTTCCAGAAAGGGTTAGTCTTCAGGTTATGCTTTATGGTTGTAGGAAACAGGATCACTGGTTAAAGTACCCAAGCCATTATTCAAGACTAGTTTAGTCAACCAACATTTAATTGTTTTTGAGGAAAAATGTACCAGTTTATTTAAGGGTTAATATTTCCACTTTAAAAATAATTCAATATGCTATTTCAGAGAATATAATTATTTTTGTGAAGTAAAAACTAATTTGAAAGAAAATGTGAGCAGAGATATGAGAATGAACATGACATCACAAAAAGACACTATTGCAAGTTCATTTTTTATCATTTTTAAAGACTGTGATATTTAAAAAGGTTAAGTTTTTTTATTTTTTTGCTTATGTGATATGACTGTTCTCTGGTTAAAAAGTCAATTTTGGAAAGATATATGTGAAAATGTTGAGTATGTGGAAAGTATTTTATTGCATATGTCATGTTATTTCCTACTTTGTATTAAAGTGTTGAAATATAACCTTTTTGTCTGTTATTAAGCAAAGAAAATTTCACCAAAAATGACCAACAAACCTATGGAAGGTGTAATAATGATTACATTTGAAAAGAGGTACATGCTATATTTGACAGTTGTCTGCTTGTTCACGTACTAGATGGAAAAGTTGAATCCAATACTCTTAAATTTGACGTTCATATTTTTCCATGAGCAGGGCATAAATCTATTCATATTACAACCACAATTTCTAATGACTGATTTCTCAAGTGGCCTTGAACGGCCATCCTTCTTTTCCCCAGATCTTCACAAAAACCCCATCAATAGTTATTACAATCAGTGGACTGAAGTGTGATATTTCATCAGGTTTGCACACTATGAAACTAATGGTGAAAGCTAGCAAGCACAACTGCCAATAGGCAAATTATTGTAAATGTATACATTTTATTTTTTGATAAAATATTACGAAGTCCTGTAAAGAAGACTAATTATTCTCTCATACAAGTTGAAAAACCTGCATAACACTGACAAAAAAA